TTACTGCCGACACCATCAAGCCATGGTAGGTACGATCGCACTACGTACGTATGTAGTAGTAGTAGTACACGTATGTTACTACCCACTACGCCACGACCGTGAACATTCTTAAATCTATTTTCCAATTTTTCTTATGTAACTTCAACCATCTACTTTTATTCGGTAATAATTCGTATTAGCGTACACTTCTCCGATTTTCTTGAAATTTTGGTATATTGTACTAGTCGTCATGCTGATTAAAAATATATGTTGGGCTAGGGTTGCCATCCGTCCGTCCTAGTTTGAAGGGTGTCCGGGGGCCGTCCGGCAGGGGTTTTTAAAAAGTGTCCGGGTGTAACTCACGTCCGGGTGTAACTTGGACACTTTTGTTAGGGGAAATCCAATTTTTTAATAGATAAGCGATGAATTCATTGAACGTAGAGAGTGTTTTCGCTAGTCACGCAGCAATAGATGAAAGAAAGAAACTCCCGGTTTCTTCTCTGATCAAAATCAAGTATAATTTCAAGGACCTGAGTTGTTCCGACTTTTGCAAACTCTCGTTGGAAAAGAAAAATATTTTAGCGAAAATTGGGAAGACTGAAGTATAGCAAAATAAGTTAAAATTAAAAGTTTTAGCAGTTACCTAAGTACTTTTACTTTACAAATATTATAAGGATTTGGCTACCTCACTAGATGACTGAAAATATCTTTGGCGGGTTTATTTTAAAATTATAGAGTATTATAGTTAGTTAGTTGTTAGTAGTATCATATAATATTTTGATTAATGCCAAAAAAGAGCGTTTCTAATTATTTTTCTTGTTTAATTATATTAAAAATGTCTATTATTTGTTGCGGTTACATACGTACTTAATTCGCCTTCAATTACAAACTGTAGAAATGAATAAAAATTAAAAAATTATACGATGTTTTTATTTTTGTTGCAAAAACTATTGTTTCAGAGGTGTCCGAGAAAAAACCATATTTCACCCAAATGTCCGGGATTTTTGCCGTGTTTATCCGGCGTCGGCAGTTTCGGTGATGGCAGCCCTATGTTGGGCTGATAAGCAAAACTAAACGTGTCAGAAAATTAGTGATGGGTCGTTATTCCGTTAATGTTATTTTAGAATATTATTTTTTTTTTTGCAATGTTGCGGTATGTTACTATTGATAATATAACTTGTTACTTGTAGCTGACCGCTTAATTGAAAATTCTACTCCAGCTACGATCCTGAGATACATCGGTGGATATCTCATTATCATCGCATAGATACCAAGATTGCAACTATTTAATAGAAGTGCGTCACGTATTTCGTTAAGAGTGTCCAGGGAGATACAAAATTTCAGAAATTATGGTATCGCAAAGCATAAATGATCAACAATTTATCTAGATACAGATTTTCGTGAATTGTTGCTGCAAAAAAAATAGTTCGTCGTCGAAGAAGGACTAGAAGCTGCATGGACAGCTCCCATTGCTTACGTTCACAACCCCAACGAAATTGTACAAGTGTCAATACATTCAAATTCGGCACACGAACAATCATGCTGTTCAGGTAATAAAAAAATCATTTGTACCATAAGCAGTTGTATTTTAATTAAGTATTGTAAACATACTTTTATTTTGTGAATGTTAACTATATCTACCCATATTTATCGTATCAAAATCGATAATCATGTATTTTAATTAAGTTATTATTAAGAAGTTAGAGTAGGAATATTGAGCATTTGTGTGTATGTGTCCGTAATCCTAAGAAAATTCAAGTAAGTTAAGTCATAGAGTTAAAGTTAGAAGTTTTCTTTTGCTAGATTGTAAGGGTAGTTTTCAAGTTGTTTTCTGTAAGGAGAAATCGGTCGCACCAAGTACACAGGCAGTCGAAGAAAGGACTTGTGAAGACTTGCGAACAGTGTATAACGAGTTCTTTTTTCATTAAATCTTTTTAGAGTTTGCGGAGTTTTCTTTTTACAAAGCCTTTGCGATTAGGACATTTGTTCTCTTTATCAACTAATTTTTATAATAGTATCTCAACAAAAAAAAGAAGATACATTTGTAAAATGTAATTTAAACTTTATTTTGTGTTTATTACCCTAAACCATAATTCGAAATCCCCATCTCTAGAATGCAGTATTCAAATTGGAATTATTCGATTTGTATATAATATGTATATAATAATACATAATAATGTCATTCAATAACTACTGGAAATCCCTTATATCTTTTTAAATAAATTTTCTAGCCTGGATGTAAGTGCTTTGGCCGGAGAATCCCATAGCTGTTAGTGAGTCAGTGCTGCTCTGGATGAATGCTACCAACTTGTGTCTCTGAATAAACTGCACTTTCTTCTACAACTAATCGTAATGTAACATCAAGACTAAGATCGAAACAAATTTTATTACGATGGCTTTAATTTTTAATATTCCTGATTTGAACCCGTGACATAAATATCTGTAACGTTAATTCCTTCTTTGCATTATTTTCGTACAAGTATTCTGATGTACAGGCACATTAAGTAGTCTTCATAGATTACAAATACAGAATCCATTTCGTTACGAATTCAATTTAAAACGTCCAATTGATAAAACTTTATAAGGACTTTAATGTAGTTTTGCTCGGTGAATATTCTCACATAACTACAACATTGCGGAATTGCTAAACTATAAAATGCTTATGAATTATACATTTGCTGGTCAAAGGTGTTACAAGACAGATTTCGAAATGCTCATTGAACGACCGAGTCAATTACTGCACAGAAATAACCCAATGTTATGTAGGTTGTGTCGCTGTATTAATTTATTGAACAAAACGTACACTTTGCAGATGGAAATGCTTAATGTTACCTATACCTATACAATTCTGGAAATGTACGTATACATTGCATCATTCGACAACTAACGTAACTTTCTTCTCGAATTTTACCAATACTATATTATCGGCAATTACAAATGACATTATTTGGTAATCACTAATTATAAAAAGAGAAACTTCAAAAATATTCAAAGACCAACAATAATGAANCTACGATGCAAGTGAGTTAACTTGTGCGACATGCTGCAAACAGTGCGAACTTTAGGCCACTTTCACACAGTGCGATAACGACACGATTTACTGCACGCGATTCAAAAAACTTTTCGTCAACAATATTCTCGAACGGATCAACTGATTAGCGTAGCTTTTGAGCTTTAGCTATGATTTTAAAACGTCTAGATCTAATGAATACTCGAAATCAATAACTTCCCAATTTTGAAAAATTAGTAATTTTTATAACGGAAAGTCAAAAAGTATTCTGAAAGTATAGCAGCATTAAGGAAAGATCCGACCCTGAATGCGACACCTAATTAAGAGTATCAATTACCAACAGAAAAAATTAGATCCGATATGTTTTCCGAGAAATATTTAAGGAGGTTCGGATTCCCGAATAATATTGTATAAAAAAAATATGAGTGCTGTCAGCACAGGGCAAAGTAGTATTACGTAAATGAAAGTTAGTATCAGTAATTTCTTATGCTAAAGTGTACGATGTGTTGCATACCTATTTACAAACAATTCCTTTAAATTTTAATCATTGATTACTATTACATCTATTAAAAAACCACAATTGCCGATATCAGTGACAATTCGACAACAATTGAAAAAGAATGATGGCCGACAACAGCAACAATTAGAAAAAAATGATGGCCGACAACAGCAACAATTAGAAAAAAATGATGGCCGACAACAGCAACAATTAGAAAAGAACGATGGCCGACATCAGTGACAATACGACAACAATTGAAAAAGAATGATGGCTGATAACAGCAACAATTAGAAAAGAATGATGGCCGACACTACGTCATAGTATTGTTCACAAAAGTGAATTTAGACCACTCGAAGCAATGATGCTAATAGTTTCAAGCTCACAGCGACTGATAGGGATTTGTTTAATTAATATAAACTATTTACGAAATCATACTGACTCTTCTTTATCATATTATTATGCGTCCAATGCAGCAACTAATTTAAAGAAATGAAATTACACCCCATAAGGGCAAATATTACAACAGAATAAGAGAACAGAGGACTCTGTGGTAGTTAATAAAAAATAGGACAGATAGGTTGGTAGGATACCTTCTCAGACATGAAAGTCTAGTCAGAGACATATTAGAAACAGAAACAGGAGTTAAGAGGAGAAGGGGTGGACGTAGATTAGATTACTGTTCGCAAATAGTTAAGGATGTAGCATGTTTTAGTGTTAGGGAAATGCGAAGATTAGCTCAGGATAGGAAGGAGTGGAGGTACGTGTCCAACCAGTCTGATGATGATGATACAAAAGCAATGACAATATCGTAATCAATAAAATTTAATAAGTATTGAGAGATTCAGATGGATTATTTATAGGCAAAGCAGTAAATCTTGACAACTTACAGTATCTGTGTAAGCTTTGTTTACTTTGCATTCTTGAAAACGTACGCGATTCGAAGCACACAAAGGCATTATACTATGTTATTATTTATGGACAAGTGTTGGCGTGGTTATATTGCAATTTTACTAGTAGGTACCGTTTGTTTTGTTCAAGAGCAATTCATATGTAAAAAAGTGCCGTACCTAAACATCAAGCAACTTCTCAAATAGGTAAGTAACCACCGGGATTCTTTCATAATGCCGTTGCTAAAGCTTCTCAAAACTTATTGCTTTCCACCGTTGCGTTGGTTGATTTATTTGGATATAAAAGAAGCAAGCTGACGGCAACAGGCTTTATGCATTAATAATAAAAAGAAGGAAACTAGAAATGAACACCTGAACTACACAAAAGAACAAAAACCGTAATTTCTTTTGCAACCTTTTTAATGGATCTGTAGGAGGAGACATTTATTAGGCCTCCTGTATACAATGTATGTCCTTTGATACATGCTTCGATTACATTGAAGATCAGAATGTACCCTATTATCTACTTTTGAGATTATCCGATTATGTGGCGAGTCTCGTTGAAATTATTGACTTTCTCTGATGGTAGAGGTAACCGGAAGAAAGACTACTGGTAGTCGATTACAGCGCCGTTGTAACCAGTAGCTAGCAGCCGCCTTTGCGCTGGTATTTTATCAGATCCATGTCTTCCACGATGGCAGACCATTGTTCTAATACTACCACGAATATGCCTTCATATTGAATATTCATTGCAGGTATCCACTTAACAACAATTTTTATTTTTGCAATGAACGATAATGGTCGAAGCCGGAAGGTACATTTGCTACTGGATATTACTTCGTTCAGGCAGGCTTCGGTATATTCGTATATATAAGTTCACTTATTAATAAGAAAGATTCGTTATCACTATGATAGTTGATTGTTGTTTTAAACAGAGAAATGAGAGTAAGACTTCAATATCGAATATCATTTGTTCAAAATTAAAAATCCCGTTACAAAACTGGTTCATTGTTGGTTCTGGTATGTAGATTACTTTGTGTGTGGAATGGTACAAATCGATAATTGGACATATTAAAATTCGAACAACCAAACTACTACGTCTGTGTACATTTTAAAAAAATAGACAAAATTAATTATTGGACTTACCATTACAAAAATTTTTAATGAACGATCCCGATTGATTCATATCACTCACACCAAATTAAAATTGCTTTATTTTATAATGGATAATGTAATTGATTTTAGAAACCTCATAGATTATGCATAATAGGTATTTGCTTGGCTATAGACTTGTAGTTCTTAAAGTACTTAATAAATATTTTATGGTTATTGCTCTGTATCAATATATGACTAATAATGTGTCCTTCAGCCTTAAAAGCCTCCACTGCTGAAATTGTAATAGTAATATATCTAATAATGGCGTGATAATTATATCGAGCATACTGTGGCAATTCTTTCAAAAAAGCAGCAGTGACGAAGTGGATTGTTTTAATACCTAGAAGGGATGGTTGGATACTTTGAATACCCATATATATAGATATGTTATAAAGATAGATTAAAATAAGGTTTAAAAGAATTTAATTTAGTGGGAAACATTTAAGAGAACTTATTTAATAATTAACGATTTCGAAAAGTAAAACTGTATTATATAAGAATCTTGAATCGCTCATTACTTATTCAAATGACTGACTGCCCACTTTGTTATGTGTACTTAAGGTATGTTTTCACAACTTATATGGAATTGCCTTTTTTGGAATAGAAGGTAGGCGTAAATGTAAGCAAATGTGCTTTAAATTTCGTCTAAAGCGTTTGCAGGCGCGCAGATTTAATATACATCCATATTTATGTGTGTGAAGAATGAAGAAGGATTTTTGTGTTTGCTTCGACATGAATAATGGAATTTCATTAGGTAGATAACAGGCTTCTCAACACCAGTATTCAGGAAGTTGTCCTTACTTAAACTTTTCTTAACACAAAATGGTACTCACATACTTATAAGGGCCGGCTAATAAGTTTGTAAGACATCTAATAATCATGTGATTTCAAAATAGGGGAGATGGATTCAGAAAAATCTCATCAAATCTCATTTAAATGGAGAGAGGAGGGTGTCTATTGAAAATATCACGTCAACCTCTGCAATCAAAGGATATACATTATTATATTTCAGGTAAAGCGTGGGGAGTCCCAACCACATCTTACGAAATCTTATCAAGGAGGTAGGGAGAGATTAAAATGAGAAGTAAATTGTACATTTAATTAACAGATATTTAAATTATACAGAACCCGGGTAAAACAGTAATTATTTCTTGTTGTAGAATGCAAAATGATTTATCAGTATAGGTAGTCCATATATGTTTTCTAATATTTTTTTCTTTCTCTATTTTTTTATTTATTACTTCCTTTCTTTTCTGGATGCTTACTCGTTCTTTAGATATGTACCTATAAATGATTACTGATGCATAATCGGATGGTAAACTAATCGTTTTGAACCAAACCGTTCATTTTCTTGCGATGTCTTTTGTTAGCTGTAGGCAGGGGTTGTTTGATGAACGTTTTGCTTCAGTAAGGGTTAGCAATAGAACGGAAGTGTTTTATCTTAAATAGTAAACTTTTGCGGAAGCGGAAATGGAAGTGGAAGCGGAAGTGCAATGATTTTAGGTGATTCTTTTATGCAGTGGTCATGCGCTCTTTTCGCGAATATTTTGTTACAAGTTTTGAATTTAGAACTTGCACCGTTAATATCAACAAATTATCCCAAATAGAATTTCATTTTGACTTCAAAATTGCACTTTTAACTTAAAATTTTACCATACCATATAGCAAGCGCTATACAAAATAAATAAACGCTATAAACGTATTAGCATTTTCGAAATGAAATTATTAGAACTGGCTAAGGGGAGTTGAAAGTCGTGGACGTTTTCAGATTAAACTAGAAAAATAATAAGAGAATAAAATTTGGAAAATATCAACATACGAAATACCAGGAAATAGATTTAGACCCTAAACCAGGGCTCGGCAACCTATGACCCGTGGGTCACCGAGTGACCCATTTGGTAATTTCGAGTGATCCACATTTTTTTATTTTTCCCAAAAAAATTTTGTCGCAGTTATGAATGTACCAAATTTGAATCCAGTATAACAGGCCATTGATATCGTAGAGAAAGATTATAAATAAAGTTTATTCAACTATGGTTGTAATTATTTTCTTAATAAAATATATCTTATTATTTACTAAAATGCTGTTTTAATACGAAAATATCTCTGACTCAAACGTCTCTTTAATACATTTTGGTTGATTTTGACCCGCGGCCAAAAAAGGTTGCCGACCCCTGCCCTAAACTGTAGCAAAGCTAAGGGACAATATTATTAATAATAAAATTTTGTCGGTTATAATGCTGCATTGAAGCCAATACTTTATAATCATATATAATATGTTCACAATGTTACAGAGGGGTCGCTGAAAGCTGGCGAAAGCACCTGTACAACATGCAGCTTTGTAACGAGTAATTCCATTTAAGTTGTGTATTGAAAAAGGCCATGTTCAGCCATCAGATAAAAATAATAAATTTTTACGACTAGTTTTATTGTTGCGATATATTTATTTTCAAAAAGATGAGATTTTTCTAAGTTCCGATAAGCTTCCGTTATAAAAATGAGGAACCAGATGCAGAAGCGGGTATAAAAATGTATGCGGAACTCCTGTAATAGCGAAAGCAGAAGCAGAGATCTGTTGCGACACTAATAATGGCTTTATATTAGCCAAATTTTAACATCCACCACATTAACCGTGGGTCTAATTACCGTGAACCGCTTTTAAATAACGAAAAATATCAGTAGGATTAACGTTTGCTTTAACCGCTTTAACACAGGGATTGTAAGTAAAAATAAGTAAAAACTAACTACGAATCTGTTAACGGTCTTCAGCGCAACATGTCAGTTTTCTGGAGGAAAATAGGAATAGAATTGTAGCTATCATAACTCACGACGTGACATACAGTTCGTTCGGTAGGTCCTTCTGTTTCTGTGTTGCGCGCCAGTATACAAAACTTTTTAGTAGAATTTCCTATTTGACTAATCGTATGTAAAAAATGAACTAGAATCTCTTTGATTGATTATTTATACATACATTGCAGTGAGTATTTATCAAGTCTACTTCAAGTACATAACTGTGAATTGCTTTAAAGTATGATCTTCGCCGTTAAAAATTCCGCCCTGCGGTTGATGCCTTTGTACACCCAGGTGAACGTGTAAGCGTTTCTTAAACTACAAGTACAGCCTCTCCTTTGATTTCTTATGCCAATTGCATTCAGGAAACTCAGGTGCATATAAATAACAATGTCAAGCGAACATCTGTTACAATTGTAGAACAATCTGGTTGCAATTGTTTAGTTGGTATGTCCATCAGGAAGGCCATTCTTTAAATAAAATATCTGTATCTAATAAATTTCGAAACTAACGTTTCCAGTTATAATTTTAGTTAAAAGGTTTTTCATATGAACAGTAGAAATTTAAACAAGATTAACCAAGATCTAACATTGTCTTTAGGCATCACAAACAAAGCACTTAATATCAAGCTATTACTAAGAAGTACAATAATAAACCAAAAAAGTTAATAAAACCTTAAAAGGAAAATCTGAAACCTAGCTAAAACTTAATGCTATTAAATGACAATGGATTAAAGCCTATTACTACGAAATATTAAATTTGTATTTAGTGCAACTTGAATGTAAATATAATCTCATTTTCTTCGAAAAAAAAAGTTTACAAATTGACAAGATTAATTGCCTTTTTAAAGATAACTAAACAAGGTCTAACAGCTAATCCCACGCTTTTTATTATATTGAAAGTTAAGATGATCTCGTAGACGACTGACTCATCGTAAACCTTTGACTATTAATCAAGTTGAAGGGTTTGGTCTAAAAAATAATAGTCAACTTTCACTTCACCTCACAAGAATATAAAGTTATTGTTCATATAATTGCTAGTAATCCTAATGTGTGTACTAAGAACATTTAAATTTAGCACTGATAGATAGGTAGTGAAAAATATTAAAATTAAGTTATTATTCTTATGTAAATTACAATTAGATTTGAATAAATGTTTCTTAGACAAAATGGTTCAATAACCAAAACAGAGCAGTTTTATTATGTGGAGCGTTTTACCAATTTTATGCCAAACATTGACAAATGAAAAATGAGTTAATTCCAAACATTTTTTCTTATTGTTATATTAACATGGGTCCGATTCGTTTTTGTTTAGAATTTATAAAATGTTTACGATCAAAATATTAATCAGACTTTATTGACAATTCTGTATGAATATAAATAAAAGTAAAACAAAAATACTGGTATGCAAGGGAAGAAAAAGAAAGTATGGAAAGAGCGAATATAAAGATAGGGGACGAAAAATTAGAAAAAGTGACCGATTTTAGGTATCTGGGAAGTCAGATAAGTTAGGCGGGAAGGAGTAGTAGGGATAGGTTAGTAGGATATCTTCTCAGGCATGAAGGTCTAGTCAAAGCCATACTAGAGGCATAAACGAGAGTTAGGAGGGGTAGACCTGGATTAGATTACTGTTCGCAAATAGTTAAGAATGTGGGTTTGTTCTAGTTTTAGGGAAATGCGAAGATTAGCTCAGGATAGGAAGGAGTGGGGGTGCGTGTTCAACCAGTCTTAGGACTGACGACCTTATAATGATGATGATTAA